AATTCGTGTTAATAATAGTTAATTAGAAGCTGATGAAATTCGTTGCACTTCTAATCGTTTCGTTTATTTTTAAATAGCATTTTATTGATTGTATTGCTGAATTTCTTGTTATGTTATCACATGATACATTTCATTCAAAACAAGTTATTAACATACAAGATTTAATAAAACATTATGATTCATTATTAGCAAGTGGACATGAACCTGAAACACATGGTAAGAAGCAAAAAAAACATTTTTGAGACAAAGAAATTATCCTTAAAATTCTTTATTTAGCTTTAGCAGCATTAGGACCAGTTTTATATGATTTTTTTTCTTGTTCGAGTTATGCGAATAATTAAAATTCCTAAAACGTTTTATTAAATGAGAGAGTGTGAGTGTGGGTGTGTAGATGTAATTTTTCTCCTCGATTGAACCTACACCCACACTTCAACGAATCGATGATCTGAAAATAATCATCTTGTTGTTATGTATTTGAGTTTGAAGGAAAACTAGGCGTCTTAATTATTATAAATACAAGTATCTTTTCATATCATGTGTATGTACTGAAAAAATAATAATAGAATTTATATTGTTATAGGCTTTACGATTGTTAACAGTTATTGTTAATAGTGTTCAAATTGAAGATGATAAATGGAAACGTCTTTCACGACAAATTGTCGATTTACTTCTTGCTCATTTACAATCTCAGGTTATTTTACTTTTAATAGTCTCTGATTTTGCGTTACTTTTTTTTTGTTCAAATAGAATCAAGCACTTTTGGATATTTATTCCACACAATTAACACTATTTGATGTTGTCTCATCAGCTGCATTACGATCAATTGATCCATTTGTTATTGCTTTTCGAGCATTAGTAAATAGAAATGTCCGTTGTTTTTATTTATAAAATTTTTCTGTAGTTTACAATTTTTTAGAATGTCAATTGTCAATCTAGAAATCGATAGTTAGTCAATATAAATCTAATACTTCGATATCTTGTACAAAATTTAACTGAAGATGCTACATTAACACGATAGAATGATGTTTTATCATCAGTTAATGAAACACGAGATGAAACTTAGTGGGTTAGTATTCGAAATGATTTTATTTATAATTTAAAAACTATTATTCTCGTTTTTGTTTTCAGAACTCTTCTTCGTGTTTTACATGGCATAATATTACTAATTTTAACTAATACTCGACAATTACGTGGTCAAATTAATATGACATTAGGTTCTCTTGCATCCGATTATCTTTATGTACATATCACCCATTAATTTGAAGATAAAACTTTCCTGCAATTCATTAATTACTAATGACCTAGCGAAAAACATTTGTCTTTAAAATTCCTATGCTTATATAAAATCTATGATTTTATTTTAGTTAAACAAATTTCGAACAATTGTAAATGATTTATGTCAACGATTAATTCATGATGAAACTCTATATTGTCTTGAGACATTTTCATATTTAACTATTTTAAATGAATGTTTTAAATTATTATGATCATCATTTTATATCTCATTATTATTACAATGGATACATATTCTGAATATGCTTGATTATACACAAGAAGCATGCTGGTCACCGACATTAACACCATCATCATCAAGAATAAATTTATCTATCAGTGGTCAATTACAATCTTATTGTGATTTAATATATCATCATGAATTCTATGTTGAACATTTTACAGCAATAACAACACATTATCAATTATTATTATTATTATTATTTTTTATTTTATCTTATACATCATACATCAGTTGCAAGTCATTTATTTTTTTTGTGAAGGAATACATTTATATGAAAGTGGTCTTATATTAGTTTTATTAATTGAACAATTTCTTCCATTACCATTAAATAAACAATTATTACCTAAATATTTACCATTAATTTTATAAATATTATCAATAACAATATCAATCAATATTATTACTTAAGATTTTAATAATCTTAATTGTCCTATAGATATAACAAGAAAAATTTATGAACAAATACTTAAAAATCTAACTTATAAAAAATGATTATCATTTATGATGTCACCGGTATATTTTAGTTTAATTTATCTAAATAAATAAATATATATGTATAATAAAAATTTTAATCCAATTAAAAGAAATGTTTTTGTTTTTACTTTGACATTGTTTATGTGCTAGTAATAGATGAGACTTTTGAATAATTCAAAATTTCGAAAAATATTTTGAAATAGAAAATATGCAGAATTTCAGGTAATACAAATCGTAAAGGAAAGCATTTAAGCTACATTAGTACAATGACCGAATAATTCCTCTCGAATCTTATTGATCAAATTCTCAGTCATGCTATTTGTACTATTACAATTAAAGAAAACGACGTCTTTCTAATATATTTCGAAATAAATTGCATTCGAGAATTTCGATAAATTTTCTATAAGTTTGAACTCGTGAACTCCGAAAACGTATTGGATTTTATCCACAGCATTAAATTTTTAGGATGATTCTTATAGTAAATGAAAATTGATTTGAGAAAATAAGAAACAATATAAATCTGTTCTTTGTTTGTTTTCCTAGAATTTTGTATAGTTATATCAAATGAAACAAATTAAAATGACATTGAAACAACACCTAATACAATTTATGAAAAAAGTCTTTTATCATGCTTCTAATAATCAACCATATACAATTGTATTCATAGATTCTCTATTAATATATTTTGATAAAATACAAAATCATGTTGAATTAACATGTCAATTTTCAACAAGTGATATACGTGATTTATTACGTTTTATAATATTTATATCAGAAATAATTTATATAAATATATTTCAAAAAAAAAACATCATTTCTTAGTTGTGAAACAGATCAAATAATATCATGTTGTACGTTACCGAAAATACTATTATCAATATTTGAATATATTTATCAACGACATGGTTTAACTATATCAAATATATTATAATCATATGTAAATTTAATTGAACCAGATAAAAGATCATCTTTATTATTTAACAAGAAAAATTAAATATATATATATCATATATTTATTGACATGATTTATATTGTATAGCTATATTATTATTTTGTTTACCAATATTTATATAAAGACAATTTTGAAGTTGGTTGATTATTAAGAATACAATTTCAAGAAAGATAGGCTTCAACTAATTCACCACAAATCAATCTAATGATGAAAATAAACAAACAACAAATAATTTATAAAAAAAAGAAGAAACTTTAGAAACAAATGCAACACAATGGTAACAAGATTGAAAAATAAACTAGATTTTATCTGTTTTTTTTTTATCGATGGTCAATATATGCAAACACATTCAACATTAGATACAAGTTCAAATAATTTATTTACAAATATTGAATGATTAGGTACACGTGATTTATTATCCTATGAACAACTTTCATATGATACTATATTAACATCAATCCAAAGTAATAATACATTACCATTATCAGTTAATGTAAGTCTCACATATGTTTTAATAATCGACAAATAGAACTCTAAATTAAAAGAAAGATAAATTCATTGCTAAATTATTAATTTCATCAAACAGAAAATCTAGTGTTTCTCTGACTTTGATTTGATATATAATACATGCAAACTATCTTATTTCATAGAAATAAAAGCTTATATCAATAATTTCAAATATATTCTATCAATCAGAAAATTAGAGTATGAACGTTTTCTTTGCTGGCATCCATCTTTAAAAATATATAATTTAGAGTTCATTTGATCGCTTATTTTTTCATCATGATTTTGTTTTAACATTATCATTACAAATTCTAATTGAAATATATGTAATATAAATTAATAGGTTCAATTATATATCTATCTGATTTATTTGTAAATGGTTTGATGAAGATGATTTAATAATATCCTTAATAAGTAATAATTTATGTAAATCTAGTATATTACTTGGACAAACAACAAAAGAATATAATGAATTATATCTACGTTTAATTGAACGTAATAATAAATTAATAACTAAAACTCATGCATATGCATCATGTTTATTCATGAAGTTGATTTAAATTCATATGATATTTTATTATCATTAATTAATGATGATAATTTAACACAAAAAATTATATCAATTAGTCTTGAAAAACTTTTAATAGTTGGTCAATATCCCAAAAATGATATATGGTGTTAATACTTTCATGTATTTATACATTATTACAACGACCAAATAAAAATACAAAATCTATTAAATAATGAACATGTTAATAAATAACAAACAATAATTGATAGTTCATCAATAACATCATCATCAGATAATATTCTTATTGAACTTGTTGAAGAATTATAAGCACGTACAAAACAATCATCAACATTACCATATGAAGCTTTACTTTTATTACGTCCTTTATCATTATTACTTGCACACATTAGTTTTTTTTTCGTGCTTTAATTAATGCACGTTATTCAGCTAAAGTTAATGAATGGACTTTATTATCAATGACAAATATTACACAAAGAAAATCACTATGCATGGCTATATGGGAGTTAACTTGTCTTATGTTAAGTGCATGTCTATCACAGGGTGTGAGTGTGGGTGAAGACAAGACCTATAATGATTCCCACACCCCCACCCTCTTATGAGTAAAATTCTGCCTATGGTTAAATATTCTTCCTAGTTTTCTTTTTAAAAATTATCAAGACTTACACATACGATTAAAATTTATTTGGACAAGATAAATAGTAAAACATTAATAAAAAACAAAAACTCTTTATTGCAATCCGAAGGAATGACGATCAATACAAAATCAATAAATTTCGCTATGAAATGTCAAAATGAATTTTCATTGATAATATAGTATATCTTTTACTTTTTTAGGTTTTTATTGATGTTATCACGTTTCAGTGTTCGTTTTGAAGAATCAGACAATCGTTTATTTCTTATTGCTGATCGAAAATAGTATCTGCAGGTATATTAAAAGAAAACTTGCAAATATCAATTGTATCAACAAAAAACAAAAAATCTATTTTATTTATTTTAGTTAACGAATATTGAACATTAACGTCCATATGAACAAGCATTCACACATGGATCGAATCCAGAAAAATTATATGCTGATTTACTTGAACACGTTCAAAATACGGTGTGGATGTACTATCGACACCAAAATATAATGCACCTCGATATTTTTTAAATATCTCGAGAACGAAAGCAGCTAGAAACCTGCGGTTTTCACCATTCGAAAGAGAAATGTGGGGGAAATAAAACTCTGCCAAATTTGATTGGTCACTAATCGACCAATCCTGTGAGCGCTCATTGGACATTTTGAAGACTGTCCAAGGAAGCTATTTCTCATTGGATTTTAGATTCCAATATGACCATTGGATGGGAAAAATTGTTCGCTTTCGATCTATGCTAAGTTGAGCTCGCTAGGTTGCTTTGTTCAAGAGCTACAAGCATTTTTCTGAGACCCCCAAAATCGGCCAGGTAACCTTCAATCATCCTAAAATAGGTCACAATAGGGGTAACTGACCACGCTGAGTTTAGTGGTGATGCTTGTTTTTAGTCTCAAAGCAATTTGAAGTCAGAATATCAAAATTTTTGATTTATCTGTATTCTCACCCATATATCGAAAAAAGTGATACTATCGGAAATTTTGATATACTGACTTCAAATTGCTTTGAGACTAAAAACAAGCATCACCACTAAACTCAGCATGGTCAGTTACCCCTATTGTGACCTATTTTAGGATGATTGAAGGTTACCTGGCCGATTTTGGGGGTCTCAGAAAAATGCTTATAGCTCTTGAACAAAGCAACTTAGCGAGCTCAACTTAGCGTAGATCGAAAGCGAACAATTTTTCCCATCCAATGGTCATATTGGAATCTAAAATCCAATGAGAAATAGCTTCCTTGGACAGTCTTCAAAATGTCCAATGAGCGCTCACAGGATTGGTCGATTAGTGACCAATCAAATTTGGCAGAGTTTTATTTCCCCCACATTTCTCTTTCGAATGGTGAAAACCGCAGGTTTCTAGCTGCTTTCGTTCTCGAGATATTTAAAAAATATCGAGGTGCATTATATTTTGGTGTCGATAGTAGATGTTGTTTGGATATATTGATGAATCATATACTCTCTCTCCCTCTGTCATCCATGCCCGCATCCTCAATAAAGACTAAAAATATCAATTCATAAAATGGAAACATAGCAACAAAAATTAATTTATCTACTTTTTTCTTTTTACTAGAATCGGTCTCTATTATAACAATCATATCTAAATTTTCTAAATCAATCAGAATAGATTGTCATTTATTTTGTGCTCTAATTTCTGTTTGGCTTATTGATTTATATTTCATATCGTATGTTTTATTATGATTTCAATCATTGATTTAACTAGTAAATAAGGCGATTACATGTATCCATTAAACATATTTTAGCCATTGAAGTTTTAACGAAGACTTTTTTAAATCATGTCGTTAGAGTTTAAGAGAAATTTGCACAAATCTGGATTAAACCTTGCATTTATAACCAGTACTTTTAATAATAACAAGAAGAATGTGAGTATAGATGTTGATATTCTGTTTAACCACATCTACACTCTTTGAATCGTTTTGGTTTAGTACATTATTTGTAAAAAGCAGCTACCATACTTCATACTATTGAACTGTTTTCTGAAAATCCATTGAAAATGATAAATTCAAAAAGTCTCGCACTACACAATTGTTTCTTTTTTATTCAAATAACAATTCTTTTTTCTTGATTTATTATTCGTACTTTTTATTATTTTATTATCAATACAAAAAAAAATTTCATAATAAAGAAAAAAATTGAATATTTTAATGTAAAAAGCAATTCATCATTGACAGTATTTAACGATAACTATCAGGGAAAGGAATCAAACCAACTTCCACAGGTTCGAGTTCAGTTCGATGCCTGACAAGCGCGGTATTATCCTGTAAAATTATTTTAGATTATAAATTTCTGATAATCTTTTTAATGAAAAGCATTAGATTTTATTTGAAATTTATTTAACTTTTTTAAAATTTATTTTTGGATTTTTGGTAAATGTTTACAAAATGTAAATTGATTGCTTTGCAAAATATTCCATCGAACATCGTTTGATAATCGCATATAACATCACAACTTTACAAAAATGATTATATTTTAGCGAATCATTTTTTTTTCATATGCCTATCTATATTTATTCATTTTTTCAAAATTACTAATATCTGTTTATGGAAGAAGTCGTTGTTTCAATGAATAGTATGATGCTGAATCCTATTCTAGTTTCATTACTGAGAATAGGAGAGATGATTATTAGCTTCAAAACTTTTTTTCTCACAATCTACTTTCGTGATTTAAATTTTGTGTTCTAACTTATTTAACTTTGTTTCAAATATTTTTTTGTTGTTATCACAGTAAACTTTGCATACATGTGACGAAATAAAATAAAGAAATTTTTTCTTGTAAAATTTAATTTAAACAGAAATATATACAATAAGGTGTGAGTTTCCGGTTCATCTACAAAGCCATACATTCTATTGTCTAGGAATTCGTTGTATTCTTCACTTTTTCTTCTGGAGAAGTGTTTCTTTTTTCTTTTTGATTTTGGGACAATTATCAATTTAGTTTGCGTTTTGTTTCAACAAGCAAGTCGTTGCAAATCTTCTAGATTAAGAAAATATTTTTCCACAGTTACAGTTTATTGTCTGTCTCTTCTGAATAGATCAATCAATCTCATTCACATTTTTCTAGCTAATAATTGTCATTGATATCTACTTTTAAGAATCATTTGGATCATAAATTCGATCATTCGATTTTATTGTAATATAAGATTACCTGATTTTCTTCAATATGTCATTTCTTGAACTCTTGCAAAGACATTCTTTCTCAGACATTCGCCATCGATGAAATTCAGAAACTCTAAGATATTATCAGTCAAATCTTCTAATCTTAAATAAATATATTTCTCTTGAATAATTGAAAATTCAGATAAAATTAGAATTGACTTGTATCACAAATATTCACTCTATTCGTTAATTAACCTTAAGAAAATCTTATATTTTGTGTTTGAATATTTGGAATATAAATATTTCAAAAGTTACTCAAAAATAAAAGAGAACTTTGCAAGGTCACGATCTTTAAAATGATGATGCTGAAATCTTGCAGAACGCTGGTAGAAGTAGTTAATAGTTATGTCATTGATTATTTTAAAAACTATGCATTGAAAACAAAACAAAACAAAAACATGTCTGTTAACTCCTACTGAAGTATTCGCTAGTCAAAGAAACATTTGAATCATTAGCCTTAATAGTTATTTCTATACAATGTAGTATTTATACACAAATTTTTTGATTGTTAGTAAATTTATCAATAAGAATCTTGAACAAACTGTTCAAATTCTTCTGAAAAGTCATGATTTTTATAAATTTACTTATGCGCTCATATAAAAAATGTGTTTTTTCTTAACTACTCTTTCCTCGTACATTGAGATAAGTCCAGTGAATGATAAAGTTAATTTCGTCAACTGTTGTCTTTTTCAAGAAGACTCATGGTTTCACAGACTACGCATGCATTTTTCTTTTCATATCGAATATAATTGTTGTTGCTCTTTTCAAGAAACTATTGCCTTTAGTCAATTACTTTTTGATTAAATAAAAGCATCAAATTTTGATAGCATTTGATATTAATATTTTCGAAGTAAATCATCAGTGGAGAAGAAAGTTAGGAGATTTACAAAACTTTCACTTTGATCTGATTATCTATAGATGACTGAATCAATTTGTTTGATCTGCCTCCTCTATTTCTTTTTTCATAGATCTTTTAAAGTTCTACAAAAGATATCTTTTTCTCTATTGCATTCATATTATCAATTTTGAGTGAATAATTTCATCTTATATTTTTGAGAAAAATTCTTTCTCATAACATCAGTATGTCTTTCACCTCTGCAAGTGTTTTATAGGAGACTTATCATTTCAATGGAATAATATTCATTTATCTAGCATCTTCTATTGAATTTTAAAAAGAACACTAAGATAATATTAATTAAAGCTGCAAAAATCGTCGAAAAATATATTCAACCAAGTAAGATGTGAGACAACAAAATTTCAAAACAGGAAACTTTTTAAACATAAGATTGTCAATATAAATACCTTTAGGAATATAAAGAATGTTACAAAATTAAAATCATAATCATCTAATATGATGAATATTATTCCATTGAAACGAAAATTTTGTATTAAATCTATTCAGATAAAAAAAAACACATAAAGCTGTTATGAAAAAAAATCTTCTCAATGAAATATAAGATGAAATTAGTCGTTGGAGATTAGTACGATAGGAAAATAACATTGGATTAGATTGATGCATTCTACAAAATTATATATTTCAATCAATGAACAGTTTATAAATTCATTGTCTTCTTAGATTC